ATGCTTACATTGTAAAAAAATTATGTTTAATTACAGTAGAATTTTAAAATTTTGCTTGATGGGACACCGTAGTCTAAAAGAAAACAAGTCTCAGACAAAGTATGCATTTATGGGGGGCTGGGGATTTAGCTCAGCGGCATAAGCGCCTGCCTTGAAAGCAGGCAGTCGTGAGTTCGATCCCTGGTACCGATAAAAACGAAAAAGCCAAAAAAAAAAAAAGTATGCATTTATGTGAGAAATTATTAGTATACAGAAGGCAAAATGCCCTTCCTCCTGCCGCTGTTTGCATTTCTAGAGGCAGTGGTGGCACCTGGCCTATTGTCTAATGGGTGTCTTCACTGCTTCAGTGATGATATTGAAGTGTAATTCAGAGCCTCAGGAGGCTTGACAGCCCACTACAGAACTGGATTTCAGGCAAGATGCACAGGGAAAGAGAAAGATGATCCTCTGGCCTCTGGGGCTAGAGACCCTGGAGCAAACTGGCCTCTCACTGAGCTGCCTGTAACAACGCTCCCTGTGGCATCGAGTTCCCACAATACAGAGGACAGCTGTGTCCCTGTTGCTGCAGGGAACGTCCAAGAGGTTTGCTCGGTGAATCTGCTCTGAGGAGGGTGAGGAGTGCAGTGGACCTCAGAGAGCTCCAAGAGCGCAGCCTTGCGCTGAGATCTTCAGTGACATACTGCAAGGTCTCAAGGTTTCATTTGACCCGCATGTCGTGTGCAATTGTCTCCTTTTTCTTATCCATCTCTGGGTCTTATTGAGGTTGGAACACTGGGTGGTCAACTCAGAAGTGGGTAACTCTGCTTTTCACAGCCGTGGCAGCAAGGTTCGTGGGAAAGAATCACACAGCTGGAACCTGCCCCACATGACACAGACTGTTCTCTACCACTGGCACATTTGCCAAACCATACAGCGCGGTCCACTTGAAGCACAGATGGGCTGCTGTGTTGGGGGAGGCGTCCAGGCCCCTCTGATACAGAGTTTGACTCTTCCTGTTACCATCACCGTCATCAGAAGAGGATGCAATAGTTCTGTAAGTGCAGCCAATGTGAACCTTGTTAAGCCTCATTCTTTAAATCTGTAAAATGGGGATAATTGTAATAATATCCCTCATTGAGTTGTGGAATTGAAAAAGAATGCACACTGCTCCTTGTAGGGGTAGTGAGGACAGAGGACATGCGCAGTGCAGAGGGTGATGACAACAACATAAATAAAAACCCACAGGATCCTGCTTCCCACTGGGGAAGCTGCACAGTGTAGCAGCTAATTATGCAGTCTTGGCTTTGTGGGAGTTTCTCCTTTGTGTTAGAAGAGACGCATAGGAATTTGTTGAAATCATTTGTTGTCTGAGCACAGTTTTCCGTGCAAGAGATCACAGAGTAGATAAGGGTGAGTCTTGATGACTGTGAGGCAGAGATTCTGCAGGGCCGGGGGTGGGGTGGGGGGGATTGGAATGTTCTAGCATTCAGCACAGCCCTGAGTACTCCGGGGAAACTTTTAAAGTATTTTCTGAAGACACAGCAAAGGCAACACCACAGTGACTCTGGGATTTTCTGGTAACAAAAGACAGTTTCTCATACATTTAATTTTCTTAACTTTTTATTTTGTATTTTGAAAAGCAGCACATCTCAAACCATAGTGGTGCTTATAACTTAGTACATCTTTCCTGACTTCTAACATCTATTTATAGCTTAAGGTTACCAGAGGAAAAAGAGAAAAGTAGAGAAAAGGAAATATAATTCCTACAGGACTTTTGGCTCCATGACTGTTGGAGTAAGAGCAAAGATTTGCTTCTGATGATGAAGTCTGACATCTCTCAAGTTCCGACTCAGCATTTAGCGCGCCAGGCAGGGCTGTACCCAGGAGAATAGGTTGTCTTCTCCTGCCATCTACTGGCCAACCTGGTGGTTACATGTTAGTTAAGTATTTGTATTCTAACCTGCACAATTAACAGTGCTTGATTATTTTTAATGCCATAAAATAATAATAATAATAATAATAATAATAATAATAATAATAATAATAATAAATAAAATGAAGTTTCCCACTTTAGTAGCACGCTATCCTGTCCTCTTGGTCCCGAAGGCTAGACAGGCTTGCTTTTCCCTTCCTTGCTGCTGGTCTTTCCTCACAGCATAAGCAGGGAGCATCTTTTCCCTGCTTACCTCTGGTTCACTTTCCGACTCCGCTCCCCACTGGCATCCAGCTATGGACTTTCCTCTGCTGGCTGATGCCCTCTAGAATAGAGCATAGCATTGCTGTGAGCTGAGACCTGGTTATAAACTTCCTCCAGACCCTACAGCCCATTTGGCTTCCCACCAGTGATTAAATTCCTGCAGGGAAGGCATTTCCAAAACGCCTTCCCGGAATCTGCTGTACTTTCTCACATTCCTGGAGCTGAGTCCAAGCCCATCCTTTAAAAGGACCCCATCGAAGCCTTTGAGTGTAGAAAGAAGTCGCCTGTGTGTAGGCTTAGTGAATGCATTTGTTTTTCTGTGACCACAAGGTCTCTGTAGCTGGCATTTCCATCTCTGTCACATCCATCCATGGAGACAAGTTTACATACTGATCTGAATAAATCAGGAGGAGAGAACAGGGCAAGAGGCACGAGGGTCTTCCAAACACAAATCCTTATTCATTAAAAAAAGTCACAAGTGAAAGGTATCATAGCAGCACGCACCAATATGAATGAATATCACAGGTATAAAGTTGGGTTTCAAAGCCAGCCATGTAACGATTATGTGCGTGTGAACCCACTTACATAAAATTCAAAACCAGATAGTGCAAATCTGTGGTGCTAGAAGCTGGCAAGCACTATTTAGTTTGGTTAGGTGGATGTGTTTGGGGGACTGGGCATAGGAATTTTAGGGTGCCAGAAATGCTCTGTAGGATCACCTAGCTGTCGTTACATAAAATAGTTCTCTCAGGATTTTGGCGCTTTATTATCCAAATTATGCCAAGAATTTGAAAGAGAAACAGTCATCACAAGCACGGAAAAGCACCAGTAATGCTTTGTCTGCTGGGCACACAGGCCAAAGTGAGCAGCAGGGTCATTTCATGCTCCGAAGCCTGACCTCTAGGGGAGGCCAGCTGAGTGGACCCCAATGTACTCAAGCTGTGGCTTGGGGTTGGGGGTGGGTGACAGGAGAGGAGGAGGCTGGAGTTATCTAGAGAGCTCATTCTAGTCCTTTACTTTCAAAATTAATTACAAAATGTCACAGTCATGGCTGTGCAAAACAGCAGTGGTCTCTGTCCATCCGGCACGGGGCTGCCCTCTGGGTTCCAGAGTGCTGGGTCTCCTGGCAGCCTGCTTCCTGGAGTCCCTCCCTGCCAGACAGCTCCTCAGTCCTCTTTCCTGACACATGGAACCTGAGCGCTGCAGAGACCCAGCAGCCGAGTGTCTCAGCAAGTGTGGCTGGGCTCAGACCTGGGGAAGCTGGCTCTAGGGGTTTTCACTTCTCAGGTGCCCGTTTTCCAAGAGTCGGGAGGCCTTGCAGCTGCTCTGGGGCCGCTTGGGCTCCTGGGCCAAGCAGGTCAAGCTAGGTAAGAGGATGCTGATTGCAAAATCATTTGTAACCTGCAGACAGGTAATGTAAATGTTCTCTCATCAGCATGCGGCCGCGGAACTCTGCTGACGCAGAACTTATGAGCTTTTTATTGGTGCTTCAGGGTGACATTCTGAACGGCCGCAGTGCTTACTCATTTCTGGTTATCAGCGAACTGTAATGGTTCAAACTGCCAGTGGACAACCAGAGATAAACTTGGGCTCACTTCAGACTGAGTGGCGCCTGTGACATATTTCATGTTCTGAGGCTTTTCTTTCATTTCTTTTTTCCTTTTTAAATTGTTGGGTGATGTATTAGTTTTTGACCTGGAAATATTTATATAAGGTACAGACTGGAAAAAAACAAATACCCCCAATCTAGGGTAAGAGACTCCCACAGACACGCTACCATTTCCTTTGTACTTCTCTGTCCTCGAGGATGGAAATGACCAAAAGACAAGAAGGACCATTCAGGGGCTGGGAGTACCCGCATTCTGGGGGACAGGACAAGAGGGGTCAGTTTCTCAAATGCAGCACAGAGGAGCACCCACATACAGGTTAGGTTCTGACATTCGTATGAGAGGTGCAAATGGTGTCCAAACAAATTACCTTTGAAATTCACTAAATCTCTCACAAGGGACAGAGAAATAGTTTTGGGTAAATAATTCTACACAAGGGTTCTTCTATATGTAAGTTTGGGAACCACTGAGCTCTGCTGGAAAGACATTTTTATGTTGATATTTGAACCTTATATTTTCTAATATCTTTTCCAATGTATTTTCTAATATCTAATGCCAATTCTTAGTTGTGCGAGGAATGGAGGTGAAGAGCTCCAAAGCCTCGCTGTTTGTCTCTAGAGTCCCCCCGGAGGCTAACCTTGAACATACAGGGTTAGATTTATTCTTGTAAAGAGTGAGAGAACTCCTCAGGTCCAACCTCGGTGACCATAAAGAGGTGGGGGCTGGCTTCAAGCAAATTACTGATAAGAATTTTGGGAACTTTAACTTTTGATGCCATTCATAGGACTGATTAGAGCCCTATGGACGGACAGTCAGCATTCCTTTCTCTTCATACCTTGGAAAGTTTGTCTGAAAACCTCTGATCTCCTCTCCCACCAAATACCAGGCAGTGTGGGCCGCCCTGTCTCACGCAGACCATCTTCAGCCTGCAAGCCCTCACCCACTTTCCATGTGCATCACCAACATGAGAGCATTTCCTCATGATATTTCTGCTGTTTTCAGGATCTACTGGAAAGTGGGATTCTACTGTCTTTTTTAAGCCTTCAGATTGAAGTAGTCGAACACTTTTGAGTTCTGCCATCAGATGGCAGGAGGAATCACTCTTGATTAGGAAGCATAGCTTGACCTCGCCTGGCAGTGCTTCAGATGTAATCATAATCACCTAACTGTTTAAAAAATGGCTGTGGAACAAATAGATCAATGAGTCATGCCAACTGTTGGGTCGAAGTATGAGCCGGGTCTCGTGAAAGCCAACGGGTAAAGCGATGCATTCACATTGCTGGAACACAGCCACGCATGGTCCTGCCTTGCCAGAGATAATAGCTGCTTGTGCAATGGCCGCCTGCTGGTGGCCAGATCCTGAAGGGCTAGACTCCCAGAAGCACAGGTAATGCAGCCATGTAACACCAGGTAGATGTGGGGACAGATGGCTTTGGTGCTTTTTACCTCTGCGGCTTTAGCTAAATTGTGGAGGCTGAGATATGCAGAGAAGCATCTTCAGGAAATACACAGAGGAGGTGCAATAAAACACTTCTGGGGCTATGTGGGTTCTGTTTGTTTAGCAGTTTGCAAGGTGAAAAACACATCAGAGTGCATCACTTTTCTTCCAGACTTTTCTCTGGCTCCATTTTATTACTCTCTTTGGGCTTTAGACCATGCAGCTCTTTCCCTTTGAACACAATTTAAATGATAAATTGAGCCAGGAAGAGATCTTCACAGAAAACAAGGATTCTTATGAATTGGTTGCCATGGATCAATGGATTTGCCATTTCTGTCACCAAGAGTTCCTTTGGGGGAAGGACCTCGCTGTGTAACTTGGCAGGTTTTCTTCCAAGATGCTGGGAATGCTTGGCAGCAATGACTCTATGTATTGGTGGCTGGGGAGAGTGGCTCTGGCCATTTTGGAGGTCAACAGGTCTAGTCCAGCGCCCGGCACTCAGGACCCTGAGTTCTGATCATCCCTGTCTCATAATCCACTGGCCAGCTTTTCTCAGCTCATCAGCTGCTCCCACTTCTGAGTTCTCTATGGGAAACTATCCGAGGGGGCATCCAGGGAAAACACAAGAAGTCTGATTAGGGCAGCATTCATTGTTGGAGTCTAGGGCCAGAACCACCTGCCCTTGTGTTATTTTTTTCTCCCCTTCCCAAATCTCTGGGAGAGGCATGGGGAAGGGGACCAGGAGTGAGAGAGAGAGAGAGAGACTCAGGAAAGTTTTAAAAACCTGCCTTACTGGGCCGTTGGCTCCACAGGAGACCTGACACTCTAGGGAAGTTTGAAGAATAGGCTTTGTGATGGCTGATAGACTGTGTTCACTTGAGAAGTTTAGAAGTTCAATTAAGCAACTCACCAAGGGGACGGGGAGCAGGGTCCTCACTTTGGAAACATCTTCCTCTTGTGCAAAAGGAGATCAGGGAGGTGATGTGAGTACTACACCCACCAGAGGGCAGATAGCTGGCTTGCAGTATAATGTCAGAAAAGAGGGTTCCCCTCTCCCTTTTTGCTCTTGTTGCTTTTGCTGTCTTCTGTCACTTTGAACTGCTGCCTCTCAGTCACATCACCTTGCCTTGGAGCCAGCTTTTATGGACTGAAAGCCTGGAAAGCTTTTCTTCCTTAACTTTGGGTGTCGGATATTTTGTCCAAGCAACGAGAGAAAAGTAACTAAGACAGAATTCCATCCCAGAGAAGTGGGTTGTTGCTGTGACTCTATGTGACCCCGTGGTTCAAGAGCTTTTGGAAATGGCTTATGGGAAGAGTTTGTACAGGTTTGGATGTCACCTGGAAGAGAAGTGCTGGCATGCCTTAGACTGTTCTGTATGGGAGATTCTGGTCAGAGCTCAGAAAATCAGAAGGCTGATAGAAATCTTTCTGGTAAAGAATAGGCTTAGAGGTTTCTGCTGGGAAGTACTGCATTGGTTGTTGGACTCCAGAAGGGGTGTGTTATGGCTTGGCAGATAGTTTGTCTGCATTGTGGTCATATTCAGAGACGTTGCCTGAGCCTGAGATGAAGGGAAGTGAACTAATTAATCTTTCAGAAAAAATTTCAAGGCAGTTGAATGTTTAGGCTATGGCACGGCTACTGTTGGAGGCGTTTAGCTAGATTTATGTTCAGAATTGAGTACAAAGAGCCCAGCAGGATGATTTAAAATGCGAGTTTGGCCAGAAAGAAAGCCCCAGTAAAGCTATGAACTGAAAGTGTAAGAGCAGAGAAGATCCCAACTGCTGAGCATGAACAGGAGACTATCAAAGATGACCTGAGAGCATTACAAGAAGTAGCAAGGCTCTACCCTTTGTAGCCTCAAAACTGCAAAAGTGAAAGACTTTGCTCTGAGGAGAAAGCCACAGAGCACCATGTTCCAGAATGGTACCAGCAGAGAGAATTTGCCCCTCAGAATTGGATTCAGAGTGCCCAGCAATCCAGGCACTTGACCCCTACATCCGAGACAGAGAGAAGCCTGGCTACTACTATAGCTGGCAGCAGATCGTGGCATCATCCACATGGCACTAGTTTTGGGTACATGCAGCGTGCAAGAGTTGTGGGGTTAAGAAGGCTTCCACCTGGATTTCAGAAGGACTGGGAGGCCAGACAGTGTGGTCCTGAGAGGCAGTGTGAGGAGCTGTGAAGATAAAACCAAAGATACAGTGGATACCCTACAAGTTTGGAAAAGCCAGGAATGTTGATCATCTGGGAAAACTGAAAGGAGGGAGCAGAGCAGGCCCGAGAGAAACCATGGGAGCTACAACCACTGCATGTGCCACAGGGACAGAGTCACTCAGGTTTTGGCACTCACAATTTGCCAAGATTGCCTTGGATGCTGCACAGGGAACTCCAGGACTTAAGGTTTGCCCTGCTGGAGTTTGGACTTGCTTTGGTCCCCTTTGGATCCCTGTTTGTAGCTTTAGGAATGAAAATATTTATCTTGTGCCACTGAATACTGGAAGTGAGCTAGTCGCTAAGGGTCTGCCTTGTAGCTTTTCAGCAATGTGGAAACTTTTAGGATGTTGGCAACTCTTAGAGATGGACTAATGCATTTTACATGAGAGAATGTGCATGAGTCATTGGGAAGGCCAACGGTGAAATGTTACGGTTCTAACATAATGTTGACAGACTTAATACTGGTTCTTAAGGATGTTCAATCTGTGTTATAATGTTCCAGTTGTGAAACCATAAGAATAAGCATGTCTTTGTATCTGGAAACTTTGTATCTGGATTGTAATGGTTGATACATTGTATCAACTTGAGAGGTTTAGAAGTTTAACTGAGCAACTCAATAGGGGGCAGAGTCCTCATTCTGTGTGAGAAGAGGACGCAGAGACCCTGTGAGTGCTAACTGGCTGTAGGGGTAGTAGTCTATATAAGGGAGGACAAGAGGCTTGCTGCCTTGGAGTCAGCTGATTATGGCATGAAACCTCCATAAACCATGAGCTAAATAATCCTTTCCCTACTTAACTTTGGGTGTTGGGTATTTTGTCCCAACAATCAGTGAAAAGTAACTAAGACAGGCTTCTCCTGTGGAATACATCTAGAAGGCCACACTGCAGTAGAACTCTGCAGGAGACAGTGGGTGGGTGGGCTTCTGATGCCCAGCTTTGGAGAGGGCTCTCTTGCATGTCTAGGCTGACTCATTTGTCCTGTAGTGGACAAAGGTAGTAGGAGTCTGGCCCTGAGCCTTGTACGTCTCTGTTGCTTCAGTCTCCATCATTTCTGGGGAACGAGTACAGTAGCCAGGTCCTAAAAGAGTCTCCAGGCCTGCAGGTTCATTGGTAAAGAGTGTGGACTTTCAGTGCTGGGTGTGCAGATGGAGGAGTGCCCCAGAGGTGCCCTTGGCAGGGGCGAGATCACACTAGCTCTCTCAGCAGCCACACTGTATCATGGTCCAACTGCCAGTGTGGACAGTGACTGGCCTGCAGCACCAGCCTTGGAAGGGGCCCTCGGGATGCATGTCACAGTGCCATCAGGTCATAACCCTGATCGTGGGAAGAGCTGTTGGCTTCATGCACCTCAGCCTGGCCCCTGTGTGCTGGGTTACAAGCTGGCGGGAAATGCCCTTGAAAGATCAGTCGGAACCGTGGTGGATCTGTGTCTGAGTTGAAGGAGAAGGTGACTGTCTGCTCATCTCACCTCCACATCTCAGCACTGAAACACTCCTTGGCGGCACAGAGACCATCCACAGTATTACATTTTTACATCTTTGTGGCAAGAAAATTCAAGCATGTACGGGTGTGTTTCAACCTGGCCCATGCCTGCAAAGAGCTTCTCACTGGCCCACATAAACATGGCTAGAGTCCTTTCCTGGCATGTCTGAGGGACCACTGGAGCCAGAAATTGTCTATGATATCAGCAATTGTTCCCGCGGACCGTCACACTCGGTTTAACAAACGCCCTCCCAGCCCATCTTCCGCTGGCCTCCTTCATCCCCTGCAAGCTAAAAGCCATAAAGATGCAGTTTGTTTTTTGTTTTTTTTTGTGAGTGATTCAAGTATGAAACATTGTTTCAGATGAAACACAGAATATGAAGTTGGAAGCCACTTGCTCCGCCCTCTAGAGACAACCACTGCTACGAGTTTTGGCACAATTCTTTCCTTTTCTTATGCACATACTTTTATGTCTTGATGGTGAGCGAAGAGGTTCCCATTCAAAAAGGCAATTTAAACAGCTATGGCGTGGTTTGCAGACTTTAGTGCTCATAAGAATCATCTGGATGGCTTGTAAAACGTACATTTGTAGAGCCAGTCCCTAGGAAACGTGCATTCCATGGATACGGAGAGAGGCGGTCTGCTGTCTTCAGCCCTGACTCCCCGGAGCAGCCTGGGCACCCCCGCCTGCCCTGGCACCGACTCCAGGATGGTCCAGCATGGAGGAGAAGGTCACCTCCCCGTGGAAGGCTTCTTGTGGGCCCTCAGAGTGAGGAGGGGAAGGGTGTTCCAGGCAATTGTATAAAGGAAGCACGACCTTGGAGGTCATCCTGGAAGCTGCAGTGAGTGGGCAGGTGTGGATGTGGGCAGTGCCCTTTCCTGGCCTCGACCCAGCCATTTTTCCTGGTGCCAGCTTCCTTGGGTGTGTCGTGGCACTGTCTCAGCCACGTCCCTTCAGACTCCTGGCGGAGACCCTGTTACAATGGGCATGCGTGGTAACCTGTCCTAGTTGAGCTGGTGCCGAGTGCACAGGGGATTACTGTACAGACAGAGACCGGGGCAGCATACAGTGCAGTGCAGACAGTGAAACTGGGCAGCCAGCGACAGTCCTGTTGCCCCTTAATGAAGAGTTCCCTGGCTACAAAGCATGGAATGGTATCTAGCTTACAGGGCTACAGTAAATAATTAAGCAAAGCAAACCTCCTACACGTGTGGTAGATTTGGTATCTCTTACCTTATAGGCTTGGGACCAG